ATATACATTGTTCTTGCTTGAGCTTATCAAACTTTTAATGGCTGTAATGACAGAATGACAGCACTGATTGACATGGGATAAAAAGCACTTACTAATAATTCAATTTACTACATGTTTCGTGTTTTATGTATCACCATTAAATGCTTACTTTTTTTAGATATTTAAATATATCTGTAAGTTGCGTGCATTTGATGCCCTGGTCACCCCCCGTGTTTCACTCAATCGACACTATATGGGCGCTGGTGTATATCGCTTTATCCGCTTTACGTATATTCTCGGTATTCTATGATAATTTATATTTCTTAGCGGTTCTAATTTTGTCCTTTTTTATTAATGTTTTAAATTTTTACAACTTTTTGAAGATTTTTTCTTTAGTATCCAAAGTAATTTTTTCTTACAATTAGCGATACAGTTCTTGCAATAAATTAGAAATTGTATACTATCACATATACGAGGTCCATCTAGAAAATATCGGGCCTACCTCTACAACTCCGCACTGTAGTATTTAAGTGACCTCTGTGGTGCATAAACGTAAACAGTAAGGCCTTACGAACTCAGCGGTTGCTCATTGATACCTTTCGGATGCATTAAATTTTGCTTTTAGCTCGGAAAAACGAGCTCTGAAACTATTCAGATAATGCAAAAGGCTTTTGAGGAATGAGTGTGTGAGCAAAACACGAATAAAAGAGTGGTTTAATCGTTTCAAAGAAAGCCGTACTTTTGTTGATAGTCAAAGTAATGTTAAGTCAGTGTTGATTGTTTTTTTTTGTTCAAAAGTTGTTGTGCACCACGAATATACACCAGCAGGTCAGACAATTAATAAAGAATTTTTGGTTGAAGTTTTAAAACGTTTCCGTGAAGCAGTAAGAAGAAAACGTACGTACAGTCCCGACATAGACCCCAGTGACTTTTGGCTGTTTTCAAAACTGAAAAAACCAATTGAAACTATATTAATTCGCCCAATTAACCATTTTTAATAATTACAAGTACGAGTGCATGCGTGGTGTACATTCAACTTGAAAAAAGGCACTCTCGCATCAGTACTTAAAAGTGGCGTATAGGCACTTCCGTACACGATGGTACAGTAGTACAACAGTAGAGATTCAGTTTCGTCAATCACCAAAGTAAAGTCCACCACTTAGTATACATCGTATATAGCACTCGTATATATCCCAAGAACGTCAACAACTTTCGATGAACCGTCTATGAACTTGACAAAAAAAGGTCAAAGTTGCTACCCACCAGCTTTATAAGGACTGCAAAGTAATAGTTAGTGGAGTTACAACATATACTATATATCGATGGTTGAGAGGAAGAAAATTCCAGCATAACGTCACTCCATCTTATTTCAAATGGGGCGATGTCAAGCTGGAATCTTATTTCAAATGGGGTGACGTCACCCTGGAATCTTATTTCAAATGGGGTGACGTCACTCTGGAATTATCTTCCTCTCAACCATCGATATAAAAAACATACAATATATACTATACAATAGCGGGAATCCTGGACATGATCCAGGAAAAAGTACTTATCGCATAACCAAGGATAAACGAGCCTTATCCTAGGTCAACGTATAGCACAACGCGTCCGAATATAACTCCCACGCCATCTATGACCTAAGGAAACTTGAGGGCACTTCTGTCAGAGTCGAACAGAAGCGCAAATCAATCGATATTCCCAAATGCAGTCTTCGTCTGTGGTTTCTGTAGCCTGTACCATGCCTCAATAATCTGTACAAAACAGGCTGCCAACCAAGCTACCCATCATCACGCGAAATGCAACGCGGATGCCTAAAAATCTCTCAAAAAGGAGTTTATGCTCGCATGAAGGGCACCACCTTTCTTTTTCTTTTGCAGAATATTTCCACCGTACAACAGCCCAAGACTTGTCCACCACTCACACGAGGACGCCATATGCGAACGTAGAAACAAACAATAACTCAGCCCCAAGCTTCTCTGCTCAATACACCTACTACAATCAAGACTATACTCCAATCCATTTGGAGTTTGTCAACATTGCTCCATCACATAGTGTGTGGCCTCAAGACCAACCGAACCGAGCACGTTGGACAGATCAGCCTCAGACGAAAAACGCCATCTTAAAAAAAACTGAAGTAATATTAGCCATATGAGGACAGCCCAAAAACTTTTTAATTAAAGACCGTACCTCAGCCATAGAATACCAACTTAAAACTGTCTAAAAACTGTTACTAGAAAACTGTAACTGTACTTCTCTACCAATCTCTTCTCCTTGAAAAGTATCTTTTATACATTCAAAACTGATGAATGAAAAACGTTGCTCTGGATCTTTATCTCTGAGTCAGTTACCTTCATTATCGACGTTCATCTAAAGCTTGTTTTTATCTTCAGATGCATTTTAAAAAGTTAATGCATACAGTGCCACTGCATTAAAGTTAACTTATGAGTGCTATCATCTTTTCTGCTCTATTTCATTTGTTTTATCTTAAGTTAAAAATAACTCAGCTAACCTCAAACGTATTACTTTATTACTATTTTCATTACATCTCGCTAGAAAGTATTATAATGTGGGTTCAAACTTTAAGG